TCTTTGATATCTGTTTTAACAGAAGATAACTAGGTTCTTGTATCCACTTCTGTATTAAATCTGTTGCAATATGTTGTTTTGGTTCAAGTGTTAGTGGAGAATCTGGCATCATATAGATAAGTAGTTGGAAAAAGAAGGACTATTTTAATAGCACTTCCGATAATTTTCGGTATGTTTCAGTGATAGTACACTAAAGCTACATGGGGTAGCTTCTTAGAGCTTAATTGCAATGTGAAATCTTAAGCCACATTAATGAACATTTCATGCAGTTACATTAAAATACATAGGTCTATCTTGTACATTAACCACCTTTTATCCATGCATGATTTTGTAATGTCAAATATCAGTCATTTGGAAGATATCTGTGCCCTGAATTATTCAGAACTTCTAAGGTTGGTGTGTGTTATTACTATAGTCTCTGAAAAAAAGAACACAATTTTTAACTTTGTATGAGAAAAAAAATCTCTTAAGTATTGGGAAGCTATGCAATACATAATGTCAAATATTTGCCTTAAAATGACAGACTAGTTTTGTGCATGCACCAGAAGAGTAGCTGCTAAGTACCAAGTCCGAATAATCCTAGTTGACTGACAGTCATTATTTCAGGTGGGAAAAGATTTTTCTTAGCTGGAAATCCAACACATGGGTGCATTTTTTTTGAGACACATATCACATCTGGGTATGTAGAAGAAGTGCTCTATGCACATTTCACATTTTGTTACATATAATATTGAAAGGACATTTATTCAAAGGTGGCTATTTTGTAAAAATTAATAATTATTAATGCTTTACTTAAGCACTCTGAATTTTTTTACTGGTATCTTTAAGGTGATTAAATGGTGATGAGGAATATTGTTTGATTCTAATACTTTGAGTTAAGAAGAGCCTCCAGAAATTTTATCTACCATTGCCTTATCACCACCAATGCAAATATAAATACATGAAAAGGGGAAGTAAAGTCTTAGTGTAATTATAAAAATAGTATTGAACTTGTGGACCCTTAGGGACATTTGCAGAGCAGATGTTGAGAATCATGTTCCTAAGACAAACCCGTTGTTAGAACCTGTATTCAACCACATATCTGTCGTATTCTAAATCTTGAAATATTAATTACAGTGATGCAGTGGCTTCAATCTCTTCCCCTTCCATCCTAGGCCCCATGATTTATCATTTCTGCTACCTTCTTGCCAATATCCTTCTCTTCCCTGCCATCTTGTTCTTCTGCCACCTAACTCTGAAAATGTCTCATCTGAATCAATCTATTCCAATTTAGCTGCTAAGCATGCTAGGAAAAATACTTGGAATGTGTGGTGTCAGCAACACATAAGCCCTTCACAACTCTGTTTGAAATTGCTCTACTTCCCCAATCCCTGAATATGGAGGAGACAGATACCATCTATATGAAAGGCAGGTTCTAAAACAGACACCCAGTCAATCTTACTTTCACCTGCCACTAGGTGGCAATAAAGCCACTAGCAAGTAATCATTAGAAAGAAGGTGGCAGATAAGCCTATATGTTTCAAATTATTAAAATCTACTTCTAGACCATTTGAATTAAGAAAACTGACTTTTGAGGTTTTTGCTATTAATACCTAAACAAGCTTATGTTTACATAGTGTTATAGTTCATAAACCTTATCTCAGACACTTTCTTCATCATAAGGCCCATGGACACTTTCTGTTACAAACCAATCAAGTACAGAGAGATAGTATGTGCCTTTTAGTAAAAGGCAAAGTTAGAATTCAAACCTAAAGTGTCTAACTTAAGACAAAATTCCTTGAAGATGCCAAGATATAAACAATAACAAGATATAAGACAATAACTATCTTTTATGATTGCTCTTTTAGAAAATGAGGCATTTATGTTTAAAGGTATTTCTGTGTTCTGAGAGAACTTCAGTTCATCAGGAGAGTCAAGGGTTAATTTCATCCTAAATCAAGGCTCATCCTGTTGTGGCACATAAACTGCATCTGCATCAATCCTATGTTCCAAGATGCTTCTCTTGGAGAGAGGAGAAGCAGCTTCCTTACTGCTATTCTATCTTCTATTACTACTTTCACATCTAAGGTTAGTCTCCCGCAACAATACTCAAGTGCTTCCAGTTTTTCATTGTTCTGCAAATCCACTTTCCTCTTGCATTCTTCCAACACTGTCTTTTAATAAGGAAAGATCTGAAATAGCATATCATCTAATGTAGTGGTTCTAAAAATGTGTCCCCTGGGGCACATCTGGCAATGTCTACAGATATTTTTGATTGTCACTACTTGGCGAACAAGGCATTTACTATTGGTGTCTACTGGGAAGAGGCCAAAGCACACTAGTAAATGTCCTACAATGTATACAAAACAAACTTCCCTCTTGGAAGATTTATCTGGTTTAAAACATCA